CCTCACCCTGGAAAATTAAAAAAAAAACAAAACAAAACTATTTTTTAGCCAAAGTAGATACAAGCTGTTTCCAAGACCCCAGTCCGTGCGCCCATGTTTATCAGTGCAGTGAGTTACTAATGCAGTAACAATTGAAGGCTGGGCAGTTAAAGACCATCAGCAGTGGCCTCACGTACACAGATTCCTCTTAACCCCCGCTATCTATTATAATAATAGTACCTGTAGAACTTTTTTATTTTTTTCTACACTGTGCTCAGGAACCATCATGTCAAATGGATGGACAAACACTCCTTTATTATAGCATTTTAATTGCATTGCATTTTGTTTGTCGTCATATAGCTTTGACTTGGTGAAGAGTGGTTAGCGCTCTTACGTTTCTTTGATGTTGTATGATTTTGATGTCAAGGTATAGCTGTTTGTTTCAACAGACAGCTACGTTTATCTGAACTGTGTCTTCTAATTTAGAGGCCCAGGAACCTATGAATAGCAAGGGCTATTTCGATATTTATAAAAATGTTATTCAACAGACAATTTTTACATTTTTTAGAAAAATGTGTGAATTAGAACTTTGCATCATTAACATAAAGAGAAATTAGTCGTTCTCCAAAAGCAGAGGTTTGTACATATAACAGCGAGATCACGTGCCATTGACGTGATGTAGGTCACCTGACCACTGGGGCAGTGTTTTCATATCCTTTTGAAGCCGTGTCATTAGAATACACCCACTGGATGCCATCATGAAAAGCAAACAAATCCTTGCCCTCTCACTCTCCGCCCTGAGGCCTGATGGTGTCATGTGAGACGGTGATTACAGCCCACGATGCATCAGGGCGCTCCGGTGTCCTTTCTGACTAACTGCATCTGTGGGTGTAGGTGGGCTCATAGCCGAGGAACATGGACACAGATGGGCCCCCACTTTGAAACCTGATCACCTTCCACTTCCACTTGATGTCCTATTAGACCTCAGGCCAAATTGAATTGAATTCTCTTCCTGTTGTGCTCCCATTACATGTAACATCTGCTCTGTGTGTGTATGTGTGTGTGTGTGAGTGGGCGTCAAGTCTGAGAGCACTTCCTATTCATTAGATTACTCTTTGCCGGAGGTCAATTAATAAAATGGTTTCCACAGTGAGGTTGAAGCTGCTGTTAGAGACACTTCAGATGAGATCAAATCAGTTTTTGTCTCAGTGTCACAAACAAGAGGAAGAAGCTGGAGACGACATTTACAGTCGTTCCACCTCCATCTTAGAGTGTCTGTTCAGAGTTGGAGGAAAAAAAGTAGAGGGTGAGAAGAACTGTCAGGCCAGATTATTTTGGTACATTTTATTAAATGGATTAAACTACAACAACCAGATCATGTTGGTGACCAACATGGAGCAACACGTGTTTGGATGCAGTATAGATCAAGGATCTTTGAGGATGCTGCTGCCATGACTGCCTGTATGCACGTATTTGTCACTTTTAATTTTGGTCATGTTCAGAGCTGCTCGTATTTTCACAACACACACACACCCTCACATTCCTCAGCGGTATACAGATATTTTCTGATGGATAAAAAGACTGGACAGCTCCTGTGAAGTAGCCTCGCTCTCTCATCGTTACACTCTCTGCATCCTCTCTTTCTCCGCCGCTGCTCATTTGTAAGTGTGGAGGATTCTGCGGCTGCAGCTTCACCTTTTGTAGCTCCCACTGTTGGCTATTCCCACACACACACACACACACACACACACAGAGTCTTGTGTTGGTTTTGTGAGAACATTCCACAGCCATCTCTACCTTTACTCTAACCTTAACTCCTACAAATATATGCCCACTCCTAATCCTCCCCACAACTCTAATCCGACCTTTATTCTAATCCTAATTCCAAAGTAAACCTTGAACCTGGGACTCAGTGGAGACAAAGTGTCCCCACAACGGTGGTGTTTTCACACTCCCTGCTTTCTTTTATTATGGGAATTCCAGGAACATAAGTGAAGTGAAGGAGGCTTTTCTAGATCACAGACCCCTCCCCCCTTCATTCTCGTGGATTTCTCATGGGTGGGGAGTGAGGAGGGATAAAACAGACGAAATGACACAAGGGAGGAGGAGAAGAAATGGCAAAAAGGAGGTGAAGGGAAAGGAAAAGGGGAGTGGGGCTAATGCATCAATAATCCTTACCTAATCCTTCCTTCTCCCTCGTTTTCTTCTCCCTCACACTCTAACTCTAACAGAACTATTATGTCTAATTTTCTTCTATTTTTTAAATCTTTATTACTAGTTAACTGTTAGCTGTCTGATCTGTTTTGGCTAATTTAAAGGAACTTTTTGATTTACATTTAGCTAAATCTGGGCTACATCCTAGCTGGGCTACATCACGCTATAATGCTACAATTTGACAAAGATTTTTCTCTTAATTTTTTCGCTATCTTTAGTTATATTTACCTTTTTTAATGACTTCTTATGGGCTAACTTTTTGGACAAATTTCTGGCTTCATTCAGCTATTTCAGCAAACGTAAAGCTGTTTTGTTGTAACTTTCAGCTTTAGGTATTTTAAGTTACTTTAGCTTCTTCTTCTGAGCTACGTTTGGATGACGTTGTGTCACTTCTCAAGCTTATTTTCATGGTTTTGTTGTAGTTGAGGGAAAGGACACAAGAGGAAAAAGGAGGAAGGACAGAGGAGGAGGAGGAGGAGGAGGAGGAGGAGGAAGCCCGGCAAGTTCATCAATAATCTTTACCTAATCTCTCACTCCCTCCTACTCTGCTCCCTCAAACACCCACTCTCCTCTTTCTCCCTCTTTTTTTCTGAGCCTAGGGCCATCCAAGTGACACACACACACACGCACACACACTCTGAGAGAGAGAGAGAGACAGAGAGACAGAGAGAGTCTGCCTGAACACGTCCAGAGGGAGAGGGGATGAATCCTAGCAGGGGAGCATTGTTTTTTTGTTCACCTCCCTGTGTGAGCAGGAGCAGGGGAGCAGCGTGGAGGCCCGCTGAAGGAGGGGTGAGGAGTGTGAGGGGGACGGGGGAGGTGTGTGTATGTGTGCAGCAAATAAAATGGTGATCATTACAGAGCAGAGAGAGAGAGAGAGAGAGAGAGACTAGGTGTGGCCAGAGGGGGCGGTGTCAGAGGCTTTGTCTGTAGTTCCCGTTACAGGCCACCAACCAGGAGGAGAAGGGGGAGGAGGGAAGAGGAGGAGGTCTGTCAGGAGACTCTCGCGGAGCCGCGCTCACTCACTCACTCAGTCAGTCAGACTGGGATTGAAAGATCTGCTGCTGTTCCGGCTTTACCGGAAGAGTGGGGTTTAAAGCACGGAATACTAGTTCAGGACCAGGACCAGTTCAGTTTGGACCACAGGAGCTGTCGTACAAACATCTGTGGGAGTGTGTTCCCCTCACTCTTCATTCATTCTTCTCTTTTTCTTCACTTGTGTGGCAACACATGGCAGAGCTCTCCTCCAGAGGAGGACCTGAAGGAGACCGGTTTCTGAGCAGAGTTTGCTGATCCGGTGGATCCTGGATCTTATCATTGTTGTTTTTGTGGACCCGTCATTTGTAGGATGAGATTTCAATGACAAAAGCCTTTGGAATATGGGAATTTTAACCTGTTTGTTGGAGCATGGAGACAGGAAGCTGTGTGTCTGTGCTCAGCTGTGGCTGATGATGATAAGTATGTCAGACCTTTACTCTCTCACTGCTCCGTGAAGAAGTCTGCCGTAGTTCACTGCTGTCAGCCTGTCTTTGTTTTTACCACACACGTACAGTACAGGACCAGAGTCCCGTGGTCGCTAACTTTTACTCTGAGGCTTCAGTTACCGTAGGCGTCCAGAAACCGGTAGCTACCACTGTAGAATGTGTTTCAATGACATTGTTGACTAGTTGACTCTAAGCTTTCGTTAATGCTAACTTTTAGCTACTCCAAGATTTAAATTGCTCTACCATTTGGCTGATTATACATGTTGCTTACTTGTAGCTATTTTATTGCTAAAGGCTAACAGTCTATAATTGTATGTGTGTATTGGGGGCATAATGTTACTTCTTTACCACCTTCTTGACCACTTAACTCTTTTTGCTAACAGTTAGCTACTTTCTTGGCTACAGTTTAGTTTATTGAAAGCTTACAATATTTTAAGAACTTTTTTTCTTTATTCTTCATCAGGGCCCTTTTGCTACATGCTATTTGCCTGCTCATTATTATTTTTTTATTTAATTTATGCAATGCTATTTGCCTGCTCATTATTATTTTTTATTTAATTTATGCAGTTTGCTCACTTTTAACATGTCGTCTCCCCAATGTTTTCATATTTTTAACAATAGTTTACTATGAGTGAAAAAAATAGACTTTGAGGTATATCTTAGCTTATCTTATTAAGAAAATTCTTAAATTGTTAGGATCTTTAACTAATTTCCTTCTACTCTTATGTGTGTTTGGCTCTAATTTAAAACTGAATGCATTTTTTATACCTCCGTGGTAACACATGGCTGTGATATACTTCAAAGTCTCTCCAGGAGAAGACACTTTTCTCTTCCTGCTGGGCAGCATAAGGATTTCCTTTCTTTTAAAGAGCAGATCTCTTTGATCAATAACACAAACCTTTGGAATATGGGATTTTAACATATGCTGTGGAGAATGGGGACGGGGAGCTGTGCTTTTGCTCTCAGCTCTGGCTAATTTTGAGAAGTGTGTCGAACCTTTATTCTCTTTCTTTTCTGAAGACTTTGATTTGGCTGTGGCATCATAAAGACGTGAACAACAACACTGACAGGCAGAAAACTGAAAAATGCCAGTAATTTGCAAAAAAAATTTACAGAAACACATCATATTTTAGATTACATTTTATTATTAGGTTACATTTTATTATTCCAGTTTCCAAAATCAGACTTTTAATAAAACTCTCAAAATGTTTTATGTATAAAAAAAACAAGTTATAAAAAAAGCCAGAATTCTTTCATCTAAATAATTTAATTCAATAATTAAACAATGACCTTTGTCCTTCTTCTGTGTTCCTGTTTCCACAGCCCTGGCAGGTAAAATCTTTCCCACCAGCTCCGATCTCCTCCTCAGCTCCTCAGCGATGACGTCCAGTCCGTCACCTCCTAACCTCTACCTCCCTGCCAACTTCAAGATGTCCAACGCCCAGCTGGCCTTCTTCCTGAGGGAAGTCCAGATGACAGGACAGACAGTTGGTGGTGGTGGTCGGAGCAGTGGCGGCGGCGGTGGTGTCTCCAGCTCCTCTGGACATCCTCTGCAGCGAGCTGAGAGTTTTGTGGTTTTCCAAACTAAAGACCTCCCTGCCATCAACATCAGCTTTGGGCCTTATGCCCGGGACCAGGCTCTGTCCAAAGAGCTGCTTCAGCCGGCGAGTCCGCTGGATATTCCTGGACAGCTGACAGTGAACTGGAAGGTGCGGGCCTTCATCGTCCAGGCCCGGGTCTTCTCCAACAACCCCACGCTGCAGGTGTTCTTCTACATTGCCGGTCGGGATTGGGACGACTTTAAGGCTCAGGACAAGCTCCCCTGCGTCCGTTTGCATGCCTTCAGGGACGTCCGTGAAATTAAAACCTCCTGTCGTATGAAAGGGAACTTGGCGCAGTGTTTGGCTCAGCTGGACCTGCCTCCATCCTGGTTTAACACCAACGTGGCTCCGTTGGGCCGCAGGAAGGGCTCAGGTGACGGGATGTTGGATGGATTAACCAGCGAGACATTACAGGCTGAGCTTTACTACACCCTCCATGAGCCGAACCTGGAAGGAGAGTGCAGTGATGGGTTAGGTTTCAGAGGAGGTGGAGGTTCTTCCAGGGGAGAACCTCTGTCACAGCACCCCCTGCTGCGCATCGGCAGCATCAGCCTGTACCAGGCCAACCAGGAGCAGTTGCTGGTGGACAAGCAGCTGGACAAGAACATGTTCCTCAGGCTGCCTGAGAAACCTCTCAAACCTGGGGAGACGTTGAAGATCTCTCTGTACCTGATGCCCAACTCCAGCGTGGAGTACTTCAGCCTCAAGTAAGTTCCTGTACAAACTCCCTTTTCTTCAACAGTTTAAATATTTGTTTCTTTCCCATTTTGTAGTCATTCTGTGTAACATTATCAAACCCTACTTTTCTGTGGGCTAAACTTAATTAATTCATTATTGGCCAGTTTCCCCCATTATTGTTATCCTTCAGAAGATTTCTGACAAAAATGAAAAATCAGAGAAAAGAAAAGTAATTTCTTTATGACATTTTTGGCTATGGTACTTAGGTCATCCTTGTAATTTGTTTATTTTATTTATTTATTTATGACATTCTTGTCTTCTTAACTTTTGACCAATATTGTAAATGTAGTATTCCACTTTTGTCATGTTCGCTAATATTTAGCAGTTTCTACACTAGCACTGAGCTATCTTTTAGCCCTTTTAGCAAACTGTAGGTATTTCTGCCTTTCTCTTATTTCTGGTATTGAATATTTGTTTCTCACCATTGCTTCTTCTAATATGCCAACATTTATTCTACGTTCATTTAACAGTTAGGATTCCAGAGGCATTTTTCTAAATTGTATTTATTGCTGGCACAAATTTCAGCCCAGTTTCCATCACTCTTTTGATACTTTGATGGTATCGTAAGATAAACGCCTAGATAAATCCAAGTCAGTTGGAGTTATTTCTTTGTGGATGATTCAGCTTTGTTTCAGTCACTCTCTATAGAAATGCACATCAAAGACCCACAGTGTTTTCAGTCTGAATGTCACAATTAATGTTTGTTTTGTGTTTGTTGTCACACATTTACCCTTTAGAAAAAAGATCAATCTATTTACACGCACTGCAGAGGCTGAATCTGAGCTTTTCCCCCCACATTTCCATGCAATCAGACACACAAGGATTATTGATGAATAGATTTATGCGTTGGCTTCCTGCTAGACCTCCATGCCAACGTTAGTCATTTCCCCACAGTCATAAACCAGTCTTATATCTCCCTTTATAATTATGCTCTCATATAATCGCTTGCAATTTGTCCAAGGTTTACGCTGAAGGTGTTGGAATTGCATGTAAACAAAGCTGTGCAGAGCGAACGCCACTGCAGCCTGTGAGGTCCCTTTAGGAAAATATAGGATTTACAATACCTAATAGCCCCCACCCCATTAACGGAGCAATTATGGAAGGACAGGACGTCTCCATTAGGGTCACAGTATTTCGCCTTTGTTCAAAGCAGTGTAATTAGATAAAGGTTGATGCATGTAATTGTGGTTATTGTGGTTCCAGATCATGTAGAAGTCTTTGTGCCAGTCTTTGATTCACTGCAGAGGTTTTCACGGTGAGGGTTTTTAAGCAAACTGGGCAAAAAAAAAAGTTAATTTCATCCTCCTCATGCATGGCTCTGTGACTGAGGCAAGTCATGTGCACCTAAGGAGGTCGATGGTTAAAGGGATGAGGCTCACAACCTTTTACCTTTTAAAGTGGTGGTGAAATGAGGAGAGATTTATTTCCATGTCCCCAAGGACAAACGAAGGATTTGAGTGAGAAATTGCTGGGGAAGTGCTGCTCAAAGCAGTGTTTTAAAGCTATGGACCTGTGGCTGGTCAACTCCAGATGGTCCACTCTGACCTCCAGATTGTGGAGGACATTCATCAGGCCCTGAAATGGTTTCTTTGTTCAACATATGGTACCCTGGTTGTCCTATTTTGAACCAGATCCCCTAGTCTGGGCTGAACATAATATCGAGAATGTGGGTTGCATTTTTCCTACTTGATATGAAATTCATTGGACATGTCAGGTTTTTCTGGCCAAATGTTGCTTGGGGCAAGTTCATCTTCTGTGCCAACTGATAGCATGGTGACCAGTAAACACTCAGTCTACATCTTTATCATTAACATTGTCATCATATATCATTAAACTCAGGTCAATGAAGCCAGTCAGTCCTCCCCAGAGGAGCTTTCTAAATTATTAAAAATAATTAACTATCAAAGAGCATTTAACGAATAGCCACTGCAATTAACTGCCTTCTGAGGTGAAGTGCAGAAATACATAATTACATTTTCTGTCACTTTGTCAATAAATATCTAAAATATCTACATACTCACTCTTTGAAAATATACCTTAATATATATATATGCAAATGTTTATATTTATTTGGCAGTATTGGAAGAATATTTACTTTACGTGTTGCGTGGCCTGATTGCTTCCTGAATTCCCCTAATATAAAAGTTTGGTTCAGTCAGTAAGGGTTAAGTCAAAGAAGGTGACTGAGTTAATTACACATCAAGAAACAGGAACATTTATGAAAAACCTGACAGCGGCAGTCAATAACGCCCTTGCTTCTTACCAATCAATCTGCAGCCACAGGTTATTTCCAGACCTTTCTTCTCAGAAGGATGTAAACGACTGCTTCGCAATAACAATAATTATTCATCAGTGTTAAATCTTCTGACCCTCTGTTAGCAGAAGTGGAGCTCAGTTGAATCAAAGCTCCCGTCTCTAGACTTCTTCCATCCTTTTTTTTTATTCCTTATTCTCCTCTGTCTTCCCACTTGTCAACCTAATATTCACAGCTGCTGCAGAATTAAATGGTTATTTGCACTTGTTAATGCTTGAGGAAAGTTACTTTTCACTGCGCTCGTGGGGAAGAAATGCAGTAGGGAAGAAAAAAAAAGAAACAGACACCAGAGGAATCTATTAGCGGCTGACTCAGAGATAATGATGAAACCCATTGTAAACTCCATTGTCCTAATCTTAGAAGAATATCTTGCCTAATATTAATTAGTCATTAGTCTGAAGAAGAATAGTGATGCCTTCCTGGAGCAGCATCTTGTTGATACGAGTTCTAAGGCTAAATCTTTGAGCAGTTCATGATACAGATCAGTCACACCTGCTGGAACTATTTTTGTACTTGTTATAAGTGTTAAATACAGGGCAGTGAGATCCTGAGGTAAATGTTATACTTCCACAGTAGTACCATCAGTGCTGACCGTAGTTTTCTGGGGACGTAAACTTGGCTCCGACAGTGTGAAGATGAATGCCTGGGATTCCTGGAGGTTGGGACTTTGATAAGGATTGGTTTCACTCTTCCGTCTAGTGAGAGGAAGCGCAGCGGGGGTGTCATTAAAACCACAAAAACAGCAGTCTTATATCATGAATTAATTTTACAAGAGAGCCCTGCAGGAATCAGAGGAACGGAACGACCTCTGAGGTGGTGTAGACGAGGCCTCAACACACCACGGCTCAGAGTACAACTGTGATCATGGCTCAAGACGTGATGAAACTTTAACGCCAAAGGTCTAAAGTTGTTCCTATTGTTTCTTGATTAAAAATTTAGTTACTGTTCTTTCCAGATGTAATTTCCACAGGGTGATAATAAAATAATATATAAAGTTCATTAGGTGGAAGTACTTTCTCTGTCAGGCAGAGCGATAATAGAAAAACTCACTACTACTTCTTTATTGTCTATATTTATATATACTGACCCTAATGTCAGGTTTATCAGTGACTTGTTTTGTTAATAATTACAGAAACTGCAAATGACTTTAACTGCTTTTTTTTCTTCTTATATTCACATGTGTATCTACCTGTGCTACATCTGTTTTTTTATGTTTTAAAACCTCCCAGAACCTTCCATTGTTAACCTCATTTTTAGGCAGAGACCAGATGAAAATTGTTGAAAAACAAATGCTAGGGAAAAAGCTAATACAGCAAAAAAAAAAAAAAAAAAAGGTGAACCTTTGTGTACCCGTTAGGGGTTGCAGACCCTCTGTTTAGCGCTCTGCTCTCAGGTTACGTACATGAGGCAACAGGATGCAGCCTGTGAATGGAACAGTGCTGTGGACGTTGTAACAATATAGTTGTCTTATTTAGCTAACTTCCTAACAGCTAACAGATATATAATAACAAAGTGACAGAAGAAATATTCTGCTCAATTATTGCAAGGTTCAACATTCTTTGGTCAATAAATTGATTTCCTTTGTGTCCTTGTAACCAGCGACAAGGACACTTTTTAAATGAACCAGTCAGGCTGTAAGAGCGTCTCCACCTAGGTGGTACAGATGGGCTTGACAACGGTTCTGCTTGGCTTTGTCATACCAGGGGAAGCCTTTAGTCTCATCCTCGTGTCTGTTGAAACATTTAGCCGTCCGCCTCAGCGTCTATGCCACTTTAATTTTTGCTCTGCCGGCCTTTGTGAAGCCATCACAGGGATGGAAATGAGCAGCGATCAAACAGAGGAGTAAAATGAAAGTGCAGGGGCAATGAGAAGAAAGCGCCGCTTCGACTCAACAGGGTTGGAATTCAATGGTTGTGGAAGCCAACAGTCTTCCATACGCACTGAGAGGGGGAATTATTAAAGATGCAACAAGAAGCATCTTGAAAGATGAATCAGAAGGTCTCCTCTTGTCTCCTCTGACTTCATCACTCCCTCTGGTTTTCCCTCTCGCAGTCATCAAGCTTTGAAGATGTAACATTTAGCCGTCCGCCTCAGCGTCTATGCCACTTTAATTTTTGCTCTGCCGGCCTTTGTGAAGCCATCACAGGGATGGAAATGAGCAGCGATCAAACAGAGGAGTAAAATGAAAGTGCAGGGGCAATGAGAAGAAAGCGCCGCTTCGACTCAACAGGGTTGGAATTCAATGGTTGTGGAAGCCAACAGTCTTCCATACGCACTGAGAGGGGGAATTATTAAAGATGCAACAAGAAGCATCTTGAAAGATGAATCAGAAGGTCTCCTCTTGTCTCCTCTGACTTCATCACTCCCTCTGGTTTTCCCTCTCGCAGTCATCAAGCTTTGAAGATGTTATCGCCCATGTGGAGAAGACACAGGCCGGGCTTTGGCCTCGTCTGAAATCTGCCCTTGTTATCCTGCGGCGGCAGGGACACTATCAGAAGTTTGGGCCCAGTGTGTGGTGGCAGAGCAGTGGTGCGTCAGAGTCGGTCTCCGTGGCCATACAATAATAATATGCAGAGCTGCACTGGCTGACATCATATATACAGTTCTTTTTCTCTGTTCCTTTGGTGAATGACTAAAGTAAAAGTCAAAAACCAC